CGGGAGGGGTTTTGGGGAGGAAGGTACCAGGAGTATGGGGCAATCCCACATTTGGAAGGCCCTGGGGAACATTATTAGCCTCCATGGGAGAATTGCTCCCCAGCTGGTGGGCTTGCTGGATGGCAACTGTCTGGGGCTGCTCAAAGTGTCCCCCCTCCACATGTCCCATGTCCCCCATGCAGGGAGGAAGGCCTCCCCTTTTCTCTCCACCAGGTTGTGCAGCACACAGCATGCTGCAACCACATTGGGGATATTGTGTTCCCCCATGTCCAGCCGAGTGAGCAGGCATCTAAATCTTCCCTTCAGCCGGCAAAAGGCGCACTCCACCTGGAAGCGAGCCCGATCCAGGTGGGAGTTAAACAGTTCCCTGCTTACATCCATGTGGCCAGTGTAGGGCTTCATGAGCCAGGGCATAAGGGGGTAGGCCGCGTCAGCCAGGATACACGTAGGCATCTGTACATGCCCTACTGCACAGTTCCTCTCTGGGAAAAATGTCCCAGCCTGCAGCCTGCGGTACAGGTAGGAGTTCCAGAATATGTGGGCATTGTGTGCCTGGCCTGACAACCCAACACAGATGTCTGTGAATTGTCCCCTGTGGTCGACAAGGGCCTGCAGCACCATGGAAAAGTAGCCCTTTCGGTTAAAGTACTGTGCTGCTCGACGGGGTGGTGCACGGATCGGGCTAAGAGTCCCATCGAGTGCTCCACTGCAATTTGGAAAACCCAGCCCTGCAAAAAGATGGTGGGCAGGGCTCTGAGGCGGAGAGTCCTATGAAGCAGCTCCAAACTGATGGTCGTCACCACCTGCAGACGGGGACAAATGCAAACACACATAAGAGGACATTAGAGGAGTTGTGTGAGCTGCTGAGAGGTGCTCCCCCACCCCTCTCCTCCCCTCCCAGACCCTGAGAGCCCTCCCCTCAGGCAACCCCCGCCAGACTGCAGGGTGAGGCCAGGCAGGCTTCTACCACTCCCACCCCATCCCCCATTCCCTTTGACCTGTCCTGACCATCCCCCTTATCTGCCTGCCCCTGCCCCCTGGACTGTCCCCCAAGAGCAACTTACTTCGATCAAGACGGCCCCGACGGTAGACCTCCCCACGCCAAACTGATGCCCCATGGAGCGGTAGCTGTTGGGGTTGGCCAGCCTCCATAGAGCAATAGAGAAGCGCTTCTCCAAGGGAATGGCAGCCCGCAAGCAGGTGTCCTGGCGTTGCAGGGCAGAGACGAGCCAGGCATAGAGCTCCTGGAAGGTGGCCTTCTGTAGACATAGCCTAGGGGATTCCTCTACAATCTGGGGGCCCAACATGGTCAGTAGTTCTTGGTGGACCATTTCCCACATCTTCCATGGAAGTGATCACAGATGCTCAGGATATTCCAAATATCCTCCTGGATAGAGATTGAAGGACCACAAATAGGTCATGTCCAGGAAAACCTAGATATATAGTACCCCTACCAAAACATCAGCACTCTTCACTTTGAGTGTCCAGCTACTTGTCTGATACTTGAGTATAAAACCACAAAGTTATAATTACTGCAGCAGATTAACAAAGGTTATGATTATTTCCACACTCACAGAAAAAGGCTTCCAGCTCCCCAAACTGTATGCAGTTGACTATTTTTTCCCCCCAAAATGCATTAAATGTCCACATATTTATTCTGGAAAGCTGTTGCTTTACACTTTCTGAGAGGCTTCGGAGCCTTTGACTGCAGGGATAATGATTACACGCTTCATTCAATGCTCCGGTAATGATGAGCAGTAATTTGCCATCATTTTTGGGGGAGAAGGGATAATCATAACAGCCTAAAATATTTTCAAGGGGAGGAGGCAGCAAAAAAAGCTTGAGGCCCACCTGATTTAGATACACCCTTAGTTGAATTCAATAAGGAAAATACTTTGGCCTTCTCAAGGTTATGGGCCCAATGGTTTTCTAAGACAAAACACATCTAAAGCCAAACTAATATTTCACTTTATAGTGCCCAAATCTTGCTCCCATTGAAATAAAAGATGAAACTTCCAATAGATTCCTCATTTGTGTGTGTGCACGCATAGAGATATAATGAAGAACCATGAATGAATGTTTCCTGCAGGGACTGGTTCTTGGACCCAGCTGCTGGCTTGGCCTCCCAGAGTTCTAGATTAGGGTCTTGATTATGGGTGGGCAATAGCTGCCCCCTGGCCAGACATGAGTCACCAGGGTTAGTGGCTGGTGGGCTGCAGATGCTTTATTTAACTGCCTGCTTGCAGGTATGGCCGCTTGCAGCTCCCAGTGGTTGCAGTTCACTGTTCCTGACCACTGGGAGCTGCAGAAAGCAGCCCAGGCATATGGGCTGGATGTAAGTGACTGGCAGTGATAGGAAGAGACTGAGGAGGACATAGTGTGTATGTGTCTATTGCTCTTTGGTGGACAAAATTATTATTGCAGCATTTGGAGGGTATTATTGATAATGGCAGTGTGTGAGGTTGTCCCTGGGTTTGGTGATTTTAGGACAAAACCAAGATTTTTTTTCTCACTGCCTAAATCAACAAGGAAATAATTACTTCAAAGTGTCCTCCAGGGCTCAGTGCAACTTTAGCCATCTGGACTGATGCCCTAAAAAAGCCCCGCACCAGTAGCCCCAGGGGCAGAGGGAGTGAAAGGCTGAAACTGTGAAGGAATGGGATTGCCAACCCTTCTGGACCAGAGGGGCCAGATGCCATTTACTGTAGTGACATCTGGTCCAGGAGAGTTGGCAACCTGGAACAGGGCTGGTAGGGAGGCACAGGCCAAAGGAGCAGCAGGTGACCATGCAGCCGACTGGAGAGAAGCAGCACTTTTAAGGGGAAAGTGCCACTTCTCGCCAGCCACCTGATGTGAGACTATTCCTGCTCAGTCCTCCAGCCCACAAGGACCACCTGCCTCTGCCTGGTGAGTAGGGGGTAAGTGCTGAGCACCAGAGGCGGGAATGGGGCAGTGGGAAGGCGGCCTAGTGCTGAGCTGGGGCAGGTGGCTGCGGTTGGAGGTGGCTGGAGCTGATAGGCAGCACATAGCTGCATAGGGCACCATGAAATTTGGGGCAATTTGGTGCCCCAAATTTCTTGGCGCCCTATGCAGCTATGTGTTCTGCCTATCAGTAGGGATGGCCCTGCTAACCATGTTGGTCCCACTCTATTAGGGTATGTCTACACTACCCTCCTAGTTCGAACTAGGAGGGTAATGTATGCATACCGCACTTGCTAATGAAGCCCGGGATTTGAATTTCCCGGGCTTCACTGGAATCTCTCAGGCAGGCAAGGGACAAAGGGAAGGGTAGAGGGATCCAGGATCTCCCTCTCTACCAGATCCTGGCCCAGTGTTCAAGGGGAGAGAGGTGAGAAGTGGCTCAGTTCCTTCTGGCTGCTATTCCAGATCAGGCTCCCCTGGGCAACTTCTTCCCTTTCCTGTGTTTTCCCTTCAGCTTTCTCTTTGCAGCCACAAGGAATTCCCAACTCACTTTGGGTATGTCTACACTACCCCGCTAGTTCGAACTAGCGGGGTAGTGTAGACATACCCTTAGAGATAGAAAGTAGGTGAGACCTTTTTCCTTCAAGAGCTCAATGTAGCTCAAAAGTTTGCCTCTTTCAAAGGTTGGTCCAATAAAAGACCATTATCTCACCCACATTACTGCTTTGTGGCTCAGGCAGCTGGAGTTGGGCTGTCCCATCCAAACTGTCTGGGCGTTGGCTTGCAATTTCTGCTGCCACCCTGGTTGTAGCATTCGGCAGGTAAGGACACAACAATATGATGGCAAGCCACCACTACTGAGGAAGGAACATGTGTGTATCCAGTGCAAGATTTCCATTACTACCAACATTTGCCAAGAAATGGGGTCATGAGGATTTGACTTTAGGACTCCACAAACACAAATTGCACTGGTTTAACTAAATCTATTTTATATAGTTAAATTGGTTCATTGCCGTTGTGCAGACAGATTTGGAACAAACAATGCCAGCTTCCATTCCTGGAGCACATAAGTGTTCCATGCTTTGCTTGCAAGCTTTGGCAGACTGGGCTCAAAACCACAAGGAAGTATTTGTTAGAAAGAACAAACTAATGAAGAGTGAAGGGAAAGCAAATTCAAGGAGGTATGATGCCCCAAGAGCCAAGCTCCCCCTCACCCCCACCAAAGAAGAGGGTCCAAATAAAATACATTTGATTCAGAAGTGAGAGGAGGGAAGAAACTTTGTCAAACTGCAGAAGTGAAGTGGAAGTTATCCTAGGAACCTCCCTGCTCAAAAATTACTCACTGTTAGGTAATAGAGCAGGAGTCAAACTCATGGCCCGCGGGCCATTTATGGCCTGAGACTTTTCACAGGTGGGGCCTGACATGGGATGGTAGCAGGGGGTTGGGCTCCTGCAACAGGTAATCCCCACTGATGTGTCCCTTGAGGAAATGTGTGCAATGGGTGGAGGGGAAAGGTTGCAGAAAGTGGTGGGGCTTGGAGAACAGGTTCCTTTACAGACTAGGGATGTGAGTGAGTAGTCAATTACCCAATAAGAATAGGCGTATCAGGTAGTTGAGTGATTACTCACCCTCCCACCCCCGTTGCTTCTGTATCAGGTAAGGGAGAGACTGCAGCGGTCCTGAGCTGGTGCAAGCCAGGACTGCTCAGTCCCGGTTCGCACTGGCCCTGGGAGCCAACTTCACTGCAGCTCTGCAATTTAAATGTAGTAAGCACCCAGTGGCTCTTACTATATTTAAAATGCAGAGCTGCAGCGGTGGTAGTTGACTAATTGATGGAAATTCTATCAACTATTCAATTAACTAGTTGACCATTACTTAATACCCCTAGTACAGAGCTCCTAGGCTTCAGGGACTCCTGAGATGGATTGCAAAAATGCATAACCCGTGGGTGATGAGTTTTAGACCCCTGAAGCAGACTTAGGATTTAGAGGTGTACCAAACAGATTTTAATGGTAACTTTTAGCTTTTTCCTGTTATGAAAATTTGATAATAACAAAGAATAACTAAGAAAGCAACAAAAATAACTAAGAAAAAGTCTCAGCTCAGTATTATTTACTCAGTGCTTAAACATTTACAGAAACATTACAATATATACAGTTTCTATTTACATATATCGTGTTACATATAGAAAGAGTAACACTTTAATGTAATTTACAAGCCTTTTACGTTTGCAGCCTAATACTCTAATAACATTTGGGAAGCAGTGTTGCTTAGCAGCTAGAGAACTGGATAGTATTCAGCCATGATTGTTTTCATGGCTTGACCACTAGGTGACACTGGGCGAGGGATGCTTATCTGGTAGTCGACTTGCTTCCGCCCCTACCCTCCACTGCCTCTGTCTGAGAGGCAGGACGCAGGAGGAGGGGGGAACAGGAGATGGTGCTGGGGGGAGCTGGCTTAAAAGCCAGTTCCCCCTAGCACCTTCTCCATGGAGTTGCCTGCCCATCCCCACTGCCTCTAATAGGGGAGGCTGCCTGCGGCGGGCTGAGTCTTGCCATGGGCAGAAGTTGCTCTGGCAGCAGCCCCTGTCTGCAGGGGTCCCAGCAAGGAGCTGCCCCCAACCACCCGTGGGTAGGGCCCACTGCTGCCATGAACAGGCGCTGCTTGCAGAGTAGCCTGTTTGTGCTGGCCAGGGCTGGCTGTGAACAGGGGCTGCTGGACTTGGCACAAGCCCAGGGGCTCTTACTACATTTAAAATGCAGAGCAGTAGCATGGGTGGCTCCATGAGCCAGGACTGCTCAAGGGTCCTTATTGACCAATAAGGGGTCCTTATTGACTCATTGTGTAGTCAGTACAAATTGTATCGACTACACGATTAGCCAGATAACCTCTATTTAACATCCTTACACTGGGCAAGTCACTTCACTGCCCCATGCGTCAGTTTCCCCATCTGTAAAGATACAGGTAGAATACTGACCCTCCTTGAAGGGTACTGTGAGAGCTAAGTACTATTACATGGTCAACTTCAGTAGGATTTGGATTGGGCAGCTTGTGAAGCCTTTAAGTATCTGCAGATTACTGAAGTCTCTCATCTATCTTGTGTGTGTCATACCTATTTTCTAGCATTCTTGGAGCTAGATGTTGCACTTGAGCCTCAGTAAAAAGAGTTAGCTAAGCCACCCTTTCTCTGCACATGGCATCAAAAATACTATGTGCTTTTTAATAAAAAATAGTTCTTATTGCAATTAAATGTTATGTAGAAACAGGGCTAGTACATAATGCAAATTGAGAGGTCAAGACCATGGATGCTTTGCATAAACAGGAAGAGGATTTTAATAAATGCATGATAAAAGGACTTGTCCTGTTGCCACTGAGGTCAACGCCAAATTTTCCCAAGGAGAGAAATTGGTCATTCACTTACTTGTCTTTACAAAAGATGAAACTAAATTCCATGAAACTGAACTTTCTCTCAAGTTAGGGAAATAATATTTTTCCTCCCCTAATGCATAACATGTGTTATGTGAATGTAGGAGGAAATTATATGAGTTTAGAAAGAGGCGGGATATTACATATATATCTATTCTATATTACACTCATCTCATCATGGGTTAAGTATCATAGAAACTATTCCTACATTTTAAATTTTTAAAAAAAGTAACCTGGTTTAAGTGTTTTATGTTTTTACTTCACTGAACATGGGCTCTAACAGCTGGAAGAAAATATTGTCCTGAGGACAGTTGTTATGACAGACACAGGTAGTGATCAGCATCATTGGCTTTTTGAGGACTTTGCTTTGGGGACACTGGAACTCAACCTGAATTGTCTTCGTGTTGTGTGGAGTGCAGCATCTTCCATCAATGCAAAGCCCACAGTAGCGGGGTTTATATGCCTGGATACTGGTGCAGTTCTTGTACTCGAAGTGAACAGCTTTCAGTGACTTCTTTGTTCGGACACACTTTTTCCCCTTCTAAAGAAAATATAAAGGGTCATTAAATGTATGTCAGACAGGCAGTTGAGTATACTAACAACTGACTGAAAAACAGAAGAAAGTTAGAGACATGCAGGTTTATTGTGGGTTTTAGAAGCCTTGGGCCTGTTTCTGGTCTCGTCACTGGTGCTACAGCAGTAAGACTCCAGTTATTTCAATGGAGATATTACTATCAGAGGTGGATTAGAGTTTTATAGGGCCCTGTGCCAGAGCAAATAGGAGCCATTCCCATCCCTTCCCGCTGCAGTCCTTCTCTCCTTTCCGACCTGCTCCTGCCAGGGAATGGGTCAGGTCACGGGGGCTTGCCCCACTATCTGGCAGCAGCACTGGACAGATGCAGTAGGGGTGCCCATTTTTCCAGAACGCCATGGCATGGGCCTCATTGATCCAGTGGCTAATCCACCACTAATTGCCATTCTCATCTATGAGAGATGTGGCCCATCCCCTTGAATTAGTGTACTGCACAAGTCAATCTCTACTTATTCTGTGGTAAGGCCCATTGTTGACAACTAAGAAAAATCCAAACCCTTTGTCCAAATGAAACCCTCGTGTAACACTACTGAAGTCACACCAGGATGTTTAGAAACCAAAACAGTAAACTCAGGTATTAGCCACAATAAATCTTACAAAACATACAGCTGCCAGAACACTGTTAACAGGTAAAACTTCTGCAATGGATAGGGCTACGCAAACTGTTGCTTGAGGGTCTGTTTAATGCACTTGAAATATTTTGTATTTGAAAAAGGAGGAGAAGTTAGGGTAATAAAGAACTCACTCTAGCAAGTGCTTGGGACCATACCTTATCAGTTAGCTGTTCACTCTCACAAGGTCGCACCATGCAGAGTCGTGTCTGTTTCACCATCTCACACTGATGATTCCTGTTTGTAATGCGGGTGGAAAAGCCCATTCCACAGCTTTTGGAACACGCGCTCCACTCTGTTGTCTGCTCAATACAGTTCGAACTTGAGTCAGAGACATCAATGCCAAGAGTTGCTTCTTTTCTAAATGCTGGAAATAAAACCCCCGAATACTCCATTACAAGAAGTGTCTTTGCTTCCTGTAAGAGTCCATTACAACTCCACCCACTTCATTAAATAGCTAACACTTTTTTTAATTAAGTGACAGTCTGTAAACCTATGACTTTGAAATAGACTTAGTAACTTTAAAGCTGATTATTGGAGTGCTTTTTAGTACTAGAGATTTGTCATTTAGATGTTTCAGAGGTGCTCACCGGAGGCCTCTGATGCTGCCAAATGGGTACTGCTTAGTGCAGTCAGGAACATACATTTCTGTACATAAGCCCTTCCCATGCATCCCAACCCTAAACTGCAGGGAAGAATACTTCATTCTCCATGTCCACTCTGATAGCTTTCCCATCCTGCTAGCTGTGATTATTATTTCATTGCTGATTTGTAAGTCACATGTGACTTACAAGAGTTTCATGTTATTCTTTGTCAGATTAGTCACCAAAAATTTAGGTCTGAGATATAATTTCAAGACAAGCCTTATGTTTTATTAAACTGTAGTAAACAGTGAAAGTAAGTTAGATGATTTTATGGCTAGGAGAATAAAGCAATCTTGTCAATTATTAAAGAGTGATGTCAGTCAAAGTACTAGCTAAGACCGATCATTGTTAAGACACAGTACTACCATCACAGCATATGTTAAGCTGTAAAACAAGTATTTCCAGCTTTATGGTTACTTGGTAAAGGCTAACATTCTTTTACCAAAGGAGAGACTCAGAATGAGTATAAGTGACCTTCGAACACCCACTTCCTGAACCAATCAAGAGGGCTTGGTTCCCAGGAGAAACCTATTGGCTGCATCACTGATAGAACACTTGCTAGAAGCACTTCCACTATCCTCTTGCAAAGTAAGGCTCCAAAAAACCCTGGAGATCTTCTAAGTAATATCTCCACAAGCAAAAGGGAAGGTGGGGGAAAGCGAAGCCTAGACCAGAGTTGCCAATGTCCACACATCAACCTGCCACTCACAAAAAACATCCAATGGTGAGGATTTGTAGGATGAGGGCAATATTTTGTACTTACATTGTGTGGTACCTTTCATCAAAGCATGTTCTAAACTGTAATTAGAGCTCCACATTCCGGTCTGGCCAGAATCAGTAAATATGGTTTTCTTTTTTAAATGGGTGAAAGGATGTTCAACAGTGTTAAGCGATTGGATCAAGGCCACACTGAAAAGTGGTGTGTAGTGGCCCCAATTCCCACCTTTTACCGCTAGATTTACAGGCTCACATTACTTAAACATATGAGTTCATTGTAAAGTTTTAAAAAGGAAAATCATTCATAATTCCAGAAAGGAGGGGGTGGAATTACATGGCTGCTGCTTTAAAAAAATCCAGCTAATACTTGGTTTTTCTGAAAATTGCTCCCCAGGTTCCCCAAGAACTGAGCTGAAGACTTCTCCAGTTTCACTGCCAGATCAAGTGACAAGATGAATGAGAGGCTATGTCTAGCCTACATTGCTTTTCTGGGATATCAGAATGATCTGCTTTTTCGATTTTTTTTTTTAAAAAGCAGACACTTTTTCGCCATCCCTATAAACCTCGTTCTACAAGGAAAAAGGGATGTGTTGAAAGAGCACTTTTTTCCAAAATGTGGTGCCATGTAACGTGCCAGATTTCAGAAAAGCAAAATCGGAAAAAGAGATTCAATTTGCATAACGAATATTGCATTTCTTGTCCCAATTTAACATTGAAGTGTAGACCTAGCCAGAGTGTTTGGAATGGGACGGTTCTTTCAGGCCCATTGAGCGTCTGCAACTACACTGGTAGTTTACACTAATCTGGTAACAGCTGTAGCTGTGGGACCTCAAACATACACAGGGGCTGGAAATTGGTACCATTTTAATCACCATGTCTACACTAGATCTTCCACCACTGTTACCACTAGCAACAGACAGGAGTTTCAGGATGAACATCTAGTATAAACACGGTGACTTCCATGGGTATATGATGTTACTTAGGCCATGTCTCCACTTGCTGGATGATTGACGCTCTGGTGATCAATCCTGGAGGATTTGAAATCGAATGCTGAGGGTGCCCCCATCAGCACTGGTACTTCTTGCTTCTGCAAGGAGTAAGGAAAGTTGATGGAACCTTTCTCCTGTCACCTCCCACTGTGGGGCTGCCCCAGAAAATTGGTGCAAGGTACATCGACTCCAGCTACAAAATTCACACAGTTAGAGTTGTATATTTTGCATCGATTTTCTCTGTCCATGTAGACCTGGCCATGTCATGTGGAGAAACCAGCAAGACTGTACATATGGGGGCACTAGGATCCAGATAGTTGGTTCCCCCTCCTGTTTCCCTCCACCTGGCCTTGGGAGAAGACTTCAGAGAGACAGCTGTCCAGTGTCTCTGCTTGTGTCTACTCTTTGCTCCATCCTGTTTCTACCTTGTCTATTTAGATATAAGCTCTTCAGAGCAGGTACCTTTTGCTACTTTTTGCACAGTGAGGTCCCTTCTTGGCTGGCCCTTAAGCACCGTCATTATAAAATCAGTTCTGAGGCCAGGCCCCACCTCTGCACACACCAGTAGGTGTAGTGATTACAGGACTAGTGATAGGCATTGTTGTTCCAGGATAGGAGTATTTCCAGGATTTGGCCCCGGTTTTGTTTTAAGAGGCTAATTACAGTTAAAAAATGGCTGTGAATCTGTTTCCTTCAGGGGTGTTTTAAGCACCTTTTGCTGCTCCACTTTTCTTCCTATTTTCTGTATAATCACTAGTGACTCTGAATGGCTTTAATGAACTGGAAGCGGAGTTCTAGTTCTGATAACCAAATGGGCATTTCCAATACACAGTCATTACAGAACTAGTTTGACCTCACTAGTTAGTCTTAATAGCTCACCAGCCATAGCAAAACTGCCCAAAGCCACTTCCTCTTTAGGTTCACAAGTCCACTTCTCACAGCACTCTCCAGGGACTTCAGTTTTCCTTGGGTAAGGGCAATCAGGTCCAGGGAGCAGGAGATCAAGGTTACAGCGAGGCACACACCCGATCTGTCCATCTCTGCAGGTACACTGGTATTTACAGCTGGGCTGGAATGTCTCTCCACTCTGATAAATAACCCCATCAAACACACAGTTGTCTCCTTCCAGTACTAGTATAGAAAGGGAAAAGGAAAGAGTTTTGTGACAGGCTACACACAGGCAGTCGTTGTTTGCTCCACTGAAACAACAGCAATGCTCCCTGATCTAGAGAACACAAGGATGGTATGAGATGCTGCGGTTCTGAAGCAAGAGATTTCTCCGGGCTTGCACATTAGGGGCGCTCACTTTGTCTGCCACACCTGCTGCCCCAATGCTTTCTCGGTGAAATGCCTGCGATGCCAGGGAGGGGAAGAGATGTCCAAGCTGTGACCTGAGGCAGGCACTGTCAGCGCCATGGCAGCTCACATGGCCAGCATACAGGAAGGTAGGTCGTAGAAAGATACATGGGGTGGAGGAAGGAAGAGTTTTCCCTGGAGGGGGGAAGCAAACATGGAAAGCCAGGGCAGAGATTTTCCCAGGGCTTCTCCCCCGGTGAGGAGCTCCACATTAGGGGCCCCAAGCCCATCTCCGCCCCCCCCCTCATTTGCGCGTGGGGTCGGGAAAGCGCCGGGCTCTGCTCCCATGAAGTACCCCGGGGCAGAGTCCAGCCGATGTGCCTGGCGCGCTCCCAGCCCCGAAGCCCCCAGCCGAGCCCTGCCCGGCGTCGCAGCGGCTGCAGGTGGCAGCAGCTCCAGCTGCGATGCCCTAGGGGGCCCCGTGGCAGCTAGCGCCTGCCCCCCCCGCCGCCTCACTCACCCATGCAAATGCCCCGGCCGGTCCCGGGGCTGCGGTCGCAGTAGAGGCCGCTGCCCTGGTCGCAGGGCTGGCGCTCGGAGCAGCTCTCCCCGCGCTGTCGGGCGCACACCAGGCAGCAGCCGCAGCCGTCCAGCAGGGCGGGCACTCCCGGGGCGCAGGTGGGCGGCTCGGCCGGGCACGGGAGGCCGCCGCACTGCGGGGGGCACGACGGCAGCTGGCCACTCACCTGCGGGCAGACAGACAGACCAAGTCAGCGGGCGCCCTGCGGCTCTTCCCCCGCAGCGCCCCGCCACGAGGCGCCGCAGCTCCGACCCCTGCCCTGCCCTTGCCTCGCCCAGCAGCAGAAGGAGGAGAAGGAGGAGGAGGAGGCGCCCCCTGCGGCCGCAGCCACTCATCAGCCTCATGCTGCTGCGAGTCCCCCCGGCTCTGCTCAGTCACCTCCCTGCGCCCAGCCCTTTGGAGCCCATTATATGGGGCGCCTCTGAATCCCCGTCCTCCCATTGGGCAGCCTGGGGCCGGGGGCGTGTCGCGGGAACCAATCCCCGCTTGCAGGGTCTGGTGGCGGTCCCCTGGTCCCATCAGACTCGGGCCTTCGGCGGGTCCAGGGCTTGGCCCGGCGCGGGGCTGCGCGTGTGCGGGGACAACGCGGAGGCTGCTGACGGAGGGGCGGGGAGAGACGGAGGGGGAGCGTGTGTCTGGGGCAGAGGGAAGTTGCTTGGGAGGCCAGGGCTCCTCTGCCGCCAGTCGAAAGATTAATGCTCTGAAGCAGCCAGATGCTCAAATAATCCAGCTGTTCCACAGAACTCCTGGAAGTAGTCGCCGGGAGTTAGTGATTTCCTGCCTCTCCGGTCAGGGTCCAGCCCTTTCAGAAGTCGCGGGTCTGTTCTGTTGTGTAAGGGAATTTCCCTGCCCCCAATTTCAGGAAGCAACACAAAACCAACAATGCTAATCGCCCCGACAGATGCGGGGGGGACGGGGAGGGGAAGGAGAGATGAAATAAATCTTCCCAGGACTATCGTCACCTTGGCACTTCCTACTGCACAAATCGCATGTGCATATACTCAGGAAGGACTAAGCAGTTCGTTCAAATTAGCCCACAGGTTTATGGCTGAGTTATTTGAAAAGATCTGTTTCCCCTAAGCTGGCCTAGTTGCTGAAGTAGCATTAAGACCACCAGTTCAGAAGTCAGTATTAGGAGGCAGGTATAGCGAACAGTGTTGCTAACTGCAAATGTTCACAAATCATGTTTCCTTAGGAATGAAGTCTGAATTCATAATATATATTCACTTGATTCTAAGAGCTGGGACTTTAAGCAAAACAGTAATTATTATCAAAAGCTTCAGAGGGGTAGAAGAGATGTGGGTTGTACCCACAAAAGCTGATGATACCATCTATATGTTTTGTTAGTCTTTAAGGTGCTGCTAGTTTATTCGTTGTTTTTTAAGTTTTTCTAGTTATTATTATGATGAGACTCATGATAAAAGTGGCAGCACTGCAGTGCTCCTCAGATCAGCCCTAGGAAGGCCACTGGGAATGTGAGAATCCTAATGGTTACCCACTTATCAAGCGAAAATTACTTTTTATTGCTTATCTGAGTTCAGTATTTTCTACTGGGAATCTAGACTTCTTTCTGTCTGTTTTCGGTTCTGTTTCAGCTGATAGACTACTCCCAACATAGTAGTATGTAAGCATTTTCTCACAGTGCATTAAGTGACATAACTAGTATGTGACACATACTGTTCTTTCTTTCACAATGCTGCAGAGGACTTTAAAAAATATCTGCGGGTCAATGAAGGGAACAAGTGTGCCTTGCAGAAAGTGATGAGCTTTATGCTGTTTCATAGATCAGTTTGTCCCAAAGCCTTGAACCATCAGCACCAAGAATGGACCTTTGACCCCTGTGCAATGCCTCAAGGTGCTATTCTAATAGGCATAATAATTAGAAGGGGAAGACTTCTGAAAGTTTGACAATTTTGGAGTAAAATTCTGTTTTTCATATAGCCCTAAGAATAATGTACTTTCCCACTAGCATTAACAGTGGATATGCACTCAAGCTAGTGTCAGTCACCAGCTAACTTTGCACTTTCCTATATTCAGGCAGAGTTCATTCAGAATTGGCAAACATCCATTTGTTTTAATAGCAATTCTACCCAAATTCTTTCACTCTCACATTGCCTAACAAAGAGCCCCAGCGCTGACTTGAAAAGATCACGGTCTTTTCTATGCATATTGTATGTGTATGACTGAAATGTGCTGAATCCTGAGCATCAAACCTTGGGAATATTTCATAGACATATCCCCGATACTCTGTAATGGGAAGTTATTTTAGAATTTAGGGTGCCAAATTCAAGCCAGGTGTAATTAGACATAACTCCTCCCCTCTTAACTTATTTTATTCATCAAGAGCTGTGCCATGAATATCTGAGGGTAACCATTGCAAGCCCGAGACAGACCTTGTTGGTAGAAAGCCTGTATGCAGAACTGTCTGAAGCAGGTAACAAGTAATAGTATCTAACTCCGACTGTTAAATAACATCATTTGAAAATTAACAAAAGTGGAAGTCAGACTGGTAAAAACTGGGGGTCTTAAAGCTTAAAGAACCAATGAGGGGTTTTATGTGTGTAACAGGGCGGCATTCACCTCTCAAGAGCTCCCCCTTTTCTGGCCACATGCATGGGCCTGCATTCCCTCAGTTCCAAAGGCTCTTCGAGGACTCAGCCCTCTGAATGAGTCACATACACACCCTGTGTGCAATCATACAAAACCCCTACTGGGGTACACATCTAATGGGCCCATCTCAATGCCCCCTGCTAGTATTCCTCTTAATCTGTTTCCCCACTCTGAGAAAAAGTGGTGCCCATAGGGCTTCCCCTCCTGGGGACAACATCCTTGCCTCTACCTCAGGGCTTTACACATCTAGCAGGGCCCATCATAGTCCATCTTCAATAGCTCCCAACATGGAGCTGCCCGTGGTGGTGCTGCTGCTCTCCTGTCCAGCCAGGCTCCTGTCTGCACACCTTCAGGGTTCCAAAGACACTGACTGTTGTTCTGGGAATGGCTATGTTGCTGAGTGGCCTAGCTTTCAGGAGAGGGAACAAACCACACACCATCATGGATGTCAGCCTCCTTTTCATCTCCCAGGACCCTCAAATCTACCATCACAACCTTGGTCCCTTATTCTTACTCCTGAAAAGTGTTCTGGCCAGACTGGGCAAGAAAAGAGAACTAAATGGTACCACAAGTTGTACCAAGTTACAGCTTTGGATATGAACTTGAGGTTTCTGCAGACACTACCTACCTCATTTGTTATTTCCCCTTCTCTGTCTTGCTTCTTTTCTTTCCTATCTTTGTCTTGTCTTCTGGTTTAGCAAGCCAAGAGAAAGCTACTTTTTTGCAGCACTGCTGTGGCCAGAAAGACAAGTTATAAATAATGTTTTTAGTCCAACCATTGGAAGGTTGCCAAACCTTATGAGTGGCTAATTCAATCAGATACCATGCTTCGCGTGTAATTCTCAGCAGCTGAGTTGTAAGAGAGATCCCGTGTAAGAGAGATATACAGAAGATGCATTTTCTTTCCCCCGCTAAGTCTTAAAAAAGAAATACATTGGCAGCAACAACGCAATGTTATTAATAATCAATTCTATCTTCACTCCTCACTGTTTTTATGGTTGCTTACTATATGTTTTAACCATTTTTTTTAAATGTCAATAACATGACAAAAGTCCCACAGTTTAGTGTAACAAGCAGGAAGCAAAGGTTTTAAAATATCTTAGCCACTATTGGGCTCAACATCCCTTTGCCATGTATGCAAAAATCTGCCTTTCCCAGATACAAATCTTATCCAAAAATATAAGTATTTCATTTTCAAAATATAACATCAGTTCCAAAATAAAAGTTCTTCCCCTACCCCAGGATATGAAACTATTTTAAAATAAAGTTCCCTCCTTGAATGATGGTATGCACCAGAACTGTATTAGAGGCAGCAGTATAGGAAGTTAGGGGATGGAGGGCGCCTGTGTGTAACTATGTAGGTTAACTGATGAGCCCAGGCTCATTGGTTAACCATTTACATGTGTACACTATCATACTTCCCTGTTATTATTGCTGGAAACACCCAGCCTCTTTCACTGGAAGAGTAAAGTGTCACTCCAGACGCTGTTAAAGGTTTTCAAAGCAGCATTGTGTCCAACAAAATAATTAGTACAACCATTAATTTGGGTTCTTATGTACTTTCTCTTAATAACTCTTTGGCCAATAAATGTGACAAATCCTGGGACACTGCACTTGGTAGTCTTCATAGTTGTATGATTATGATATAATTATGATGCATTTTGTACAAGATATGTTTTGCTAGGTGTCTATGGAAAAGTTATGATCTGCTGGATACGATTATCCTAATTGTATGCTTTTTTGTATCTGAAATCGTGAATATTGACCGTGTTGTTGTATTTTGAATGGGCTTAGTCTGGAAAACACCTACAGCCAGCCTTTCAAGTACAACAATGAAGAAGCTAGATGGGGCTAATGGTCCATCAGCAAAGACAGTGGAAAATAGAAGAGGTTAGCCTTCTGGTGAAAATTTCAGCTATGAGCAATAGCTGCTGTGACTCAGCAAAGGGGCATGTGATCAGAGCATGTGACACCAACCTCCATTTTGGTACCCGTATATTTCCACATATTGGGCTGGGAACTAAGTTTGGAATCTCACTCCCCACACAAGGACACTCATGGAAATATCTGAGAAACAAAGACTAAATTGGGGGAGGGGAGCATTGGTTCCAGACTAAGGCTACGTCTACACTGCAACACTATTTTGGGATACTGGAGTATCCCGAAATAGCTATCCCATGTTTTCACAGCAAGTCCATTATTTCAGGCTTGCTATTCCGACGTCACTGTAAACCTCATTCCACAAGGAGTACGGGATGTTTCAGAATAGTGCTTTATTTCGAAAGACGAAATAAGCTATTTTGAAATAGCATTGAAATAAGATACATAGTTTGCATATCTCAAATTGTGTATCTTATTTTGAGCTATGGTGCAGTGTAGATTGCACCCTAAAGGATTTCCAGCCTATGCATGAAATCCTGATGGACTGCTTGTAGCATCAGCCAGAGTGCAAAATTGCTAAATTACATAAATATTTCTAGTGTTTTAGGCTTAGCTTGCAATTTTGTTTATTTACTAGGTAATCTGTTGTGATCTGCTTGCTATCACTTATAGTCACTTAAAATCCATCTTTTTGTAGATAATAAACTTGTTTCTTGCGTTTTCTAAACAAGCGTGCCTTTGAGTGGAGAGAGAGTGGAGAGAGAGCATCGAGGAGATAGCAAACTATTTATGAGTGTGCATTGCACAGATCCCTTTGGGTTGCAATATGGTACAGTTACAAAATAACTGTACAAAAATATGGTACAAAAATAAACCAGTATATTTATGGTTTATACTCCAATA